AGTCAGTTAAAGCACAAAGAAAGCACAACAAAGGGAACACACAACACCTAGGCGCCTACAGACCATCATTATAATACGCTTGAATAATGGGAGGACGGTTCTCCGCTGGACGCAAGTCCACACGCTCCCCCGCATAGATCAAGCGGGCGCCCTCTTTCTCTGCTTGGGACAGTACCACGGGCGAGTTGAATTCCTCAACATGGCCCAACTCCCACTGCCTAAGGAAGGCGCCTCCACTCTTAAAAAACGAGTCCCGATACGCCTTCATGAAGAAAAAGCTGTTGAACCATGTACGGTTAAGTTTGGGACATCGTGACACGAAGTGGTGCGGGCGCTTCTTCCGCTTCTGAAGTGATAAACAGTTGTCGAGGGGCGCCATCTTAAAAAAGTATCTAAATAAGTTGAAGGTGGGCTCCACGTTGCACTCCCGGCACCTCAACTTAAATAAGATGACTATCGTAATTACTGAGGGGGAGAGGCGCCCCAATGAACAACCACACGTCGATAGAATCCCCTCCATAATATGGTCGAGGGGGAAGCGCAACCCGAATCGGAAGTACTCCTGGTATACCCCGATCCACTTGGGCCCGCAGACGCCCACTCGCGAAATTGGAGACGGAGGCGCATACCACCAGTCGCGCGGCAGTTGCAGACTGGTGACGAGCTCATGGACGCGCGCCAGGGTGACCGTCGACCCATGCTTCGGCCCGGCCACGTCATAGGGTAAATTAGCCGACTCCACTGGAAGATGGTCCGGAGGAAAACACTTCTCCCACGTGGTTATCTTGTACGACCCATCCGCAGGCAAAAAACCAGGCGTCGAGGTGCTTGATGGTCCAGCCGATGTCGAAGCAGGCGCCCCCTCTAAACCAACAAACGACCCAGACGCAACGCGGATGCGGGGTAAGTGACGCCCCACCCTAAATAACTAAGATGAATGTAACGCAACCAACGAAAGAAAGAAGTTTCCTTACCACGTTGGGCTGGACGCCCTGCCTCGCCACCCGCTCCTGAGGCGCCCGCACCAGTCCCATCGCCGCCCGAGGCGCCTTGGCCGAAAGCCTTGTCTTGTTGAGCAGACATATTCAAACGGCAAAGCAAAAAGCGACAGTTGCTGCAGAGACTGACAGGAGAGAGGTCAGAGCAGATTCTAGAGCGAAGTCAGAGGAAAATCTTAGAGAGAGAGCGAATGGGGGAAAGTGACAAGGACTAAAGGGGAGGGGGTATTTAAAGGAAACGAAGGTCTATGTCAGGACCCGCGCCGACGTGCCACGTGTCCGTATCACGGGCGGACTTTTGAGCTTCCCCCCACCTTTTCCTTTTCTTGAAATTTTTGAAATTTCAATTTCGAATTTTCTAAATTCCAAATTTGAAATTCCAAATTTTCCCGCCACGAAAAACGTGGGGCTCACATCAAAACCCCCCCCGTGAGGGGGGCATAAGGGCTTGGGATGCCCGCACAAAGAATGCCATTAAGAGCCGCCCGAGAGCCACAAACGAAGAGGCGCCCTTGGAGCTCCAAAAAGAAGCACATATTGCAAGGAGCGTCAGCAAAGACGGGACGCCCGCCGGCGAAAGGAGAGGGGCAAACGCGCCCCCCGAACCATGAAGGAAGTAAAAATACAACATAGGGCGCCGAGAAGCATGCGTCCCATAACAAGGAGGACGCCAGACCGCAATAAGAGAATCAGTCAGGCGCTCAAAGGCGGAGCCATGACCGCCTAACTGGGGGGGCAATTGTTGGGGGTATTACCCAACAATTAGGAGTTTGGGCCCCCAAAAAGAAGAATTGGGGGGCAAGGCCCGAAAAGGGTTCCACTAGAAGCCCTTAGGCCCAGGCAAGGGGAAGGGCCCAGAGAATAAAACACTAAAAGCCAAAATGAGACCAGCTGTCAGGTGGTCCACTGCCTGCGGGCGCCTGTCGCGTGTCAGGAGCCTGACAAGGCAGTTGGATGTCTCACAGAGGGGGTACAGGGCATTAAATGGGGCAGTGACGTGGAGGAAATCAACCTCGAGTTCAGTGAGTATAAATAGGGGCAGTTGGTAGCATTTAGACAGGTTGGATTCTCTCACCAAAAATTACTACTTGAGAACACTTCTCTCTCTAAAGAAACTAACTTGGGCGTCGGAGGATTAACGGGCCCAGGCGCCCTCCTCTTTGTGTGTGCAGGCAGGCGCCAGGCGTAGGGAGGTTCCTGCTATACCGGCGGGTACCGTGGCAAAAACAAAGCCCATCCTTCACAGCTAAATTAATAATGTGAGCCACACACCTCATCTGCAGATACTTTCCATCCACAATATCTGATCCCCACTCTTTCAACTGTTGCTTCATATGGATAGCTACCATATCGTTAACACTAGCATTATCCATTGTGATACAAAAGACCTTCCTAATGCCCCAGTCCACCAAACAACTAGCCAACTGTTTTCCAATTTCATTTCCAGAATGTTTTGTTATCTGAACAAAGTTGATAATTTTCTTATACAGCTTCCAATCCCTACCGATGAAATGTGCAGTAACACACATGTAGTTGAGATTGGACAAAGACGTCCAACAATCAGTTGTGAGAGATACCATCCCCAAACATATAGCTTATAAATAATCCTTTAACACATCTCTGTTTTCAAAAAACACCTTGATGCAATCTTCTCTAACAGTTTGTCGGCTAGGCAGCACAAACATAGGACAAACACGGGACATAAAGCGTTTGAACCCTTCATGTTCAACGTATCTAAATGGTAATTCATCTAGAATTATCATCTCCGCTAAAGCTCTCATAGCATCAGTCTTATTAAATTGCCAAGAACCAAGAGTGTGTACCTGACCTTCAAAAGATGACGGAAGCTCGACTACAAGATCACCCCTTGCTATCTTTGCCAAACAATTATCCTTGTGGGTCCGTAGAGTAGATGTCCCGTTAGCTACAAGAGCACTATTGCAGTAATTGCATCGAGCTTTTTTCACTCCATCCATCTCCAAGTGTGTGAAATGTCTCCAAACATCAGATGTTGTCCCCCCACCTTCATGGTCTTCTAAGAGATAAGAGCTTCACTCAGAGTGACAAAATAACCAGACCACTAGATCGAAGAGACGTCTGACACCCCCCAATCAGCATCACAATAAGCTATTAACCGAAGTCACCAATAGAAGAAAGTAGAATGCTTTGATCGGGAGCATCCATGAGATAACACAAGACTCGCTCTGCACCACCAACATGAGGAGAAGAAGGAGCATGAACACAACCACTAAGAATATTCACGACATAGACGATGTCAGGACGAGTAACAATAAGGTACTGGAGACAAGCAATCAAATGATGATAGGTTGCGATGTTTGCTTCAAGGACACGAGCAGAGTTTGCTTCAGGCGGCCGAGTGAGTTGGTGATGTTAAATAAAGAAAAGGCTCGGGACACCCACTAGAAAGACCACTATCGCGAAGAAGATCCAAGGTATACTTCTGTTGGTAAAGAACAATCCCTTCACGAAACTGAACCATCTCCCTCATCGTTGTTGTTACTGACCACCATGCAATCATCACCACTAGTTCCACTGCTAATTAATGAGGACTTTGGTTTAAATAGCCAGCTCTGATACCATGAAAACAATCTCGATTTTTCGCTAATTCATTTATTCTTATATAATTTTTATACCCGCTGGTGGAATCCTGTATGAATCAGTAAGAACCTGTTATTGAATAAAAGAGAGAAAGGGAAAACAAAACGAGTCCAAGATAAAGCGGGTGAATATAGAACAAGAACACGAGACTAATTGAAATTCAAATCAATCAAGTTGAAATTATCATTCACATGAGTGACTATAAAAGCAAGGAAAAGCAAAGGCGTATAGTAACATATCCGTACAACCAGGGCATGCTGGACAAACACAGTAAAAGACTCAATACATCAATCGTTCTATCTCAAGTTCTAGTAGAAAAAATGGAGCCTTCAACTTCGTCAAACTCAAGGATTGGGAAAAAGGGGAATCAGCATTCAGCAGCCAGCCCAGGCCAGGCCAAGTATAGCTGCCAAAGACGGGCAAGCAGAGACAAACAGAGTCAAGCCATGGACGCACATTGTACTCTGGCTACCTTCGAAAACTTAGAATCCTCATCGTAATCGGCCGTGGGGGTTGGTGGTCGTAGGTCTCTCTAATCACAAAGGATCATTAGCTAAAAACGAAAAGAAGCCCTTTCATTTCCTCAAGCCACTAGGATTCTGTCTAGCTAACATTGCCAAATAGATCTCTTCCAAAAATGGTAATAACGTACACGCCCGTGATTGTAAAACTATACCAAAAGTTATGCCAAAAAAATTAGTGATAGAGTATTTTGTACTAATACCATTGTTCAGTCGTTTCATATACCGCTAAAACTACCTACCGTTAGGAGTTCGGTCTCCGGTATTTCCGGTCCAACCGGCAGGTAGTTACGTATACTTCATGGGGTTATCCAAGTCTTTACTTACTTTCTGGTGCCTGCTAATCACGATTTAGTCCATACAAACCAAAAGGGCCTGCTGCTGTTGATGTCATGTTGCTACTCTTCACCTTCCACTTCTTTACAAGTCTTCTCATCCTGGCCGGCAAAAGCTCTTCCTCTTCTTGAAAAATGTATAGCTGCCTCTGACTTTTCTGAACTTCTGATAAACAAAATCAACGAGAGCAGTTGGTAGTCCTCCTGTATGCATCGAAGAGTTTCATTCTGCTGCCACTTGGCGACTTCCTAGCTTGCATTTGACTGTTGGATTCGCTGAAATAGTATTCCTGAGGTCATCTTCCACATCTCCCTACTTAGCAGACCTACAAAAAATCAATGAAATATTAATGATCAAGTGCCTCAGCAGACAGTAGGTAGTAGTACTAGAACAACTGACACTTTGAACACATCTGTCTATTCTCGTACATCAAAGATCCAACCCACTATAGGTTTCATTTAAAGTGGCAGCAGCGCTCAGCAGACTGCTAAACACTTTCTGACATTTTTTTCCAGACAAAAGAAACATGGCAAAGCGCTTGTTGGACTCTCCTCCAAGCTTCATGTGGTGGGCACGGGATGATATCGAACTCACCGAACCAAATTCAACAAGGCCTTCATTCATGAGCGAAGATATCTCAGTAGTTAGCGACACCGTGATGATCACGCTGCCAACCGGAGGCACCACGACACCTCTCACTCCAACTACGACAAATGGGCCACCGATGACGCTGTTCTCAGGTGGGGCATCGCCGGATATCCGCCACAAGATAGAAAATGCATCCCCTACAACAGCAAGACATGTGGCTATGAGGATGTATCAGAGCATGAAAAAACACGGACTGAGAGAAGAGGCCACCAGGGTGGTTGCTCAGGATGACGAGGAGTATTCGACGGAGTTGGGAAGAAAGAGTGAGAGTCAGGAGCTGCTTGGGATGGAGTACATGTTAAGGGACGGTTTCGTAAATTATCTACGAGATATGGTCAAAATCACTCCTCCAATACCCCAACAGGTAACTCAAAACTGATATCCTATACTGGATCCTCATTCGTGTTCATTTCCAAGATATATGTTTTGGAATGAATCATAAAATTCAGGTTTGCAGGTAGTCAGGTTTTCTGGCATAAAGTACTCGCGCAAAATGGAGATACCAACCTATAGATATGAAACCTTTGGGAGTAAGATCGTTGGATGCTTTCTCGGGCCATTCAAGACTCTTCTTCAAGCAAAGAAATTTATATGGCTCGAGGTTCTCAAGGGGGTTGATGGGTATATCATGCCTGGATCCATGACCCTTTTACTTGGTCCACAAGGTATACATTCACCCCAACAATAACTAATAACTAATTTTCGAAGCAGTAAGAGAGAATCAATTTTGTAACAGGTCCCAGACTGGAAAACTCACCTGCGAGATTTTGTTTCAGGGAGTGGAAAGAGCACTCTCCTTGAAGTGCTAGCAGGGAGAGCCATAGTGTCCAAGAATGTTAATGTGCAGGGAGCAGTCACATATAACGACAAGCATGCCTCCCAGATTTGTCTCAGCAGACTGATTGCTTACATAAGCGGCCAGCCAAACCAGTAAGCTTTCCATGACCTGCAATACGAATAGAATTCTTGAAATATCATTATTCCATTTAGGTGACAATAACAAAACGTTTTGCAGGCACATTCCGTTTCTTACAGTTCGTGAGACACTCGAGTTCGCAAGGGATTGCACTCAGGGTCTTCGGCCAGAAAACTTCACTCCTCAGATGAGGAAATTCTTCGCACATGCACTGGTGGAGGGGCAAGATCCATTCCTGGAGTATGTGTTGGAGATTTTGAGGTTGAAGGATTTAGAGCACAAACTTACAGGAGAGGCCTCTGACAGTGATCGCCAGAAGCTGACAACAGCTGAGTTGGCTCTCGGAACATATTCTGTCATGCTATATGATCAGCCGATTTCTGGGTCTGATCTGGCTGCTACATACAGGCTGGTCGACACTATAAGAACCGTTAGCAGGATTCAGCAATCATCTGCAGTCATGGCTCTGACTCAACTATCACAAGATGTGTTTGATCTGTTTGACAGAGTACTATTGCTCCGTGAAGGACAAGTTCTGTTCCAAGGACCTCGTCAGGATGCCATCCCTTACTTTACCAAACTCGGGTTAGTAACAAAACATACATGTGCAGTCGAATGTAATAGCACTCACATATTTACGGCTAATGATATGTCAAGTATACCTATAGATGTCAATGGCAGACGCTCAACTATAGGTTGTCTACTGTCGAAGTCACCGAATTATATGTCCCCCCCCCCCCCCCCCCCCACATGTTTTCTGTATTTCCTAATCAATTCCTACCCTCAATTTCTGTTAGTTTTGTCCCACCTTGCTGACCGGGACTTCAATAGTACACACTAAATACAGGACTTCAACAGTAGAAACTCTAAAAAAGTACAGGGACTAGTTGACATATACCTCATTGTATAGCTACTGAACCCTAATTGAATTTGACTATTGGTTATATAGGTATGCCAAACCGTCACATGTAGATTGCTACGAGTTCCTGGAAGATATTGCAGCAGGGAATGGTTCACAATACGTGCCACCAGGAGCATCACCCTATACACTAGAGGATCTTGTGGACTGTTACAGGGCTTCAGATCACTATAAGGATATCATGAGAATAATAGCCTCAAAAGATGTCAAGCAAACATACTGGCTAGAAAGCGAACCAGGGCTTGGATTATCCCTCAAAAGACCAGCCAAGTACCAATCCTCAACTGACAGAGCACCAAGACGAGAAACAGGTATAAACAAAGGAGATCTATCAATATAACTTTGCATATACGCTGGAGTCATGCCATGCACATTCATATGATACCTGTAGGGAAAGAAACATGTGTTGTGGTGATTCAGCAGCAGTACAAAGCTTTATCCACTGAAAACTAACCAGTGTAACTCATCCTGTTGCTGCAGAACTGGTAGTTACCAAGCTCTCTAAGAAAGTAGGACATTCAGGGGGTATCAGGAGTACAGGAAGAGTGCAAGTTGGGGATGTGGTAACCGCAATATCACTGAATAAAGAAGAAATGATTTATCTATCAGTTGGACACCAGAAGGTTCAGAAAGACCGCACCATACATGTACACTCCATACTGAAGCAGACAAGACCCCGCATTCGTCTCCAAGTTGAGCGCGAAAAAGAAGAGGTACATGCAATCCCTGACATTTAAGAACCAAGGAAAATATGATACCTAGCACATTGATTCCCAAAGGTACTAAAAGAGTATAAATTTTCAATAATTCAACAGGAAATTTATGTTTATTTTTCTAGGAAGAGAAGCACAATCTCCAGTGGGAGCAGTTCCAAAGGCCCTTTGTTCAAACCTGGTGGGAATCCACGAAGACTCTCATTAACAGGCAAATTAACATCACAAAAAGGCTTCATGCTTTAATTAAATTAAGGCTCATTCAGGTTTGCCTACATCGTCCAAGTATTTTCAAATAATTCTATTCTCATACATAGCAAGATTTGAGCTGTAACCTGAATCCCGATATCAAACAATAGAGCTGGTTTTAACCCTAAATTTACAGGCAATCATCCTGGGAACATTCACTGGGTCGCTATTCTACAAACTTGGGGGTCAGTACGACCAACAAAAGATGAATTCAGTAAGGGCTCTAGGCTTTGTGACTACCATGAGCATAATGCTCATAAATATGGTACAACTTCCCTTATACATGCTCCAAAGACCAATATTCTACAAGCACAAGGCACTGAGGTTCTTCAGAGTTTCGTCATACATTGTTGCCCATTGCACAGTCAGCATCCCACAGACGCTCATAGAAGTATATTATATTCCACTATTTATTCACACTCAAATATCATTAGATCTCATCATATGGTGTTATATTCCTCTATGCATTGCCCTTACTTGCAGGCACTAGTATATGCTGTTTGTCTCTATTTTCAAGCTGGCCTATCCCTGGCAGGAAATGGAGTGCCACTCTTCACATATTTAGCCCTTTTGTTCTTGGTAGCTTTCTTCGGATCATCATTGTTCTTCTTCCTGAGTGCTCTATCTTCGATTCCAGAAGTAGGGAACGCTTTGGCAGGTAATTCCCAATTAACCCATCTCCATTAAAATAAAATCTTTCCCAAACACAGTTAATTTGATTTTGCTTCCTCCACAGGTCTACTAGTCTCAACCTTCCTACTTTTCAGCGGCTTTGTGATCTATCCATCAAAGATCCCAACCTACTGGAAATGGCTTGTCCATGTGAACCCAATTCACTGGGCCAATGTTTCATTCTGCCGACTTCAGTTTCTCGAGGGCTACACAGATCCGTGTTCTGATTACCTAGGTCATCTACCCTACTGTGATCAGTTCCCAAGAATGACAGTTGGAAAAGCATACCTGAAATTCTATGAACTATCTGGAGATACTGGGAGACCCTGGCTGCCATATACCATTCTATTGGGATGGATAGCCATGGTCAATTTCTTAGCACTGCTGGGGCTAAAGAAGATAGAATTCAGAGGAATAAGCCAGTCATTGCCCCATCTCAGAAGAAATGCACGAGTCATCAGCAAATATGCAGAAGACAAGCAAGAAGAATATGGGACAGACACCAGTCATAGTGAGAACTCTACTGACATCAGTACTTCCATGCATGCTTCGTATAGCTACAGGACAGAAGTAAGTGACGAGGTAAATGACATATCCAAGGAGGAAGTTCTAGTTGACGTACGAGGAAACATGCTTGACATACCTGTCAAGAGAGTTACACTTCTGTTTGAAGGCCTGACCTTCACAAGGTACATCACACCACTTTACACTTCTCCTATCCAAGAATCTTTGGGTCAGCACTCTTGAAACTCATACATAAGTTTTTTATGGACTAAAACATTGTTACTGAATCAGGCATAATGAAGTGACCAAAGAAAGTGTATCAGTTTTCAACAACATCACAGGCTTCGTTAAACCCCAGCAGATGGTAGCCTTAATGGGTGCGACAAGAGCATGCAAGACAACACTGTTGAAATGCCTTGCTGGTAGAGTGCCTCTCATTGGGGAACTCAAAGGCAACTTACACACAAGTGACGTAAGGGCCAGTGCTACATTCTCCCGGTTAGTAGGATATGTTGAACATGTCGATGCCCACCAACCATTCCTTACAGTAAGGGAATCCCTTCAATTCAGTGCCGCACTCCGCCTAGGAAAAACAATAGACTCCTTGAATTCTCGCGTTCATGTTGAATTAGTCCTCAGCCAACTGAATCTGATAACCTATGCCAACCAACTTGTTGGTTCTCTACGTGGCAACACAGGGAAGACTTACGAAATAGCCAAAAAGATTACCATTGCAGTTGAACTGGTAGCAAATCCAAGCATTCTTCTTCTTGAAGACCCAATATCTGGCCTTGATAGTGCAGGGATTTGGAGCATCCTCAATAGTCTCTCTAACGTTGCAGATTCAGGAAGGGTCATCATTGCATCTCTCACACACCCTAATGCACGCGTTCTGTCATCCTTTCACATGGCCCTCGTCCTAACAAGAGAAGGCCATCAAGCATACTTTGGTCCTGTCGGGCATCACTGCCAAGCGTTGCTGGGATATTTTAAGTCCATCCCGAATGCCCCTCATTACTCCAGGAGAGTAAGCCCAATTAGCTTTGTGATGGATGCCCTTGGATTGGGTATGGAAGAAGCTTCACAAGCTCCTGCATTAGATTATGCACAGATTTATCAATCCAGCTCTTTGCAGGAGATCAACAACAATGAAATCTGCACAATAAAGACATCAATCAAGGGCAGCAAGTTAGAGGATATACCTTCAAATTATCCTGCTCCATATTCAACACAAGCTCTTTTGGTACTTCTGAGAACACAGAGATTCTTGTGGAGGAATGTGCAGTATACGTTTGGTAGACTGACAGGCTGCATCGTGATTGGTCTATTGATGGGGTCCTTATACTATCAAGTAGAATACAAAGACACCTTTGGAGCTACGTCGCGTTCACTATACATATACATGCAAGTTATTCTCATAGGTGTTATCTCAGCCAACAACGTGATTCCCCAGCTCGGAACAGATAGGTTAGTCTACTTTCGGGAGAAAAGGGCAAGAATGTACCTTCCAATATTCTATCCAATATCATGGGCAGTGGGGGAGATTCCATACTTTCTCATGGCTACATTTGCAGTTATGGGGATCGGAAATGGCATGGCAGGAATTGCAACTGATTCCATGAGGGAGTTCCTCCTATATTGGTTAGTGCTCTTCATATTCACCCTTTGTGTGACCTACTTCGGGATGATGATCACTTTCCTAGCACCAGCACCAGTTCTTGCAGCATTTGTGGTGTCAATTGTGACATCAATTTGGGTTTCGGCTTCTGGAGTGGTTGTTTTGTTCTCGGACATAAGGTTCTATAAGTGGATGTACTGGAGCAACCCATTCCAGTATGCCATGAACATGATGACCTCTCTCAGTTTCTACTGCAACACAAAGGCTTGCAACACAACAGGCTGCTCCTGTCCCAAATTCTCAGATGGGTCTTACGTGTGGGACAGGTTAGCATCAATAAGAAGCTTGAGTTATGAGAGAATGGAGACAGACTTGTCGATATTGGCTGCAATGTCTCTGCTGTTTGCAAGTCTAGCGTTCATACTCTTTGTTGTACTAAAGCATAACTCATTGCCCCAGTGACAGATAGCAAAGGTCTGTACCAAGACTAATAGATACATGTAGAAAATGGAGGACATGCTGGCACATTAGAATGATGAAGAATTTCAGTATCACAACAAGCAACTGATCCAGAGGAGACTGAAGAAAGACCTGAAAGCTCATATTCCCTTTCATTTCATATAACAAGATGTATTTAAGCACACAAAGATTTTGTCACACAATCCATTCCTTCTGGCATCATTAATTAATAGCTCTGCTTTCCAATTACAACATATTAATCACAGAATCTGCCCGAGCACTTGATAGTTGCAGCAGGGAAAACAAAGAAAGAAATGGGCAGGTTATAATGTCGGTGTAATGTGCACCAAACCAGCAACCTGGAAATTATTGTAGCATGGCCAAAAGGGATAATATACTGGTGGAGCATCATCCAAAAGTTCAAGAATGTCGCGCTGCAAAGAATGAACTTAACCCCAGTCCACAAATGGAAGAGGCGGATATCCGCCCTCAGGAGGCGGCAATAGAGACGGAGGCAGATTACCCCACCACGCTCCCATGCTATTGGGCACTGCTTAGTACAGTACAAGGAAGAAGCAAATGTAAGGCAGACCATATTAAGAGAGCCAGGCAAAAGAAATCATCAATCTCATTCAGCAGACAAAGAAGAGGAACCCACCAGCAAAAGAGCTTCTTCCACCTACGGCTAACGGAGGAGCAATAGCATCACCGGCGACGAGACCCTGACCGCGAGTAACAGTCGGGGATTGAGAATTATGGGGGGAAGCGGCGGCGGCGTCGTCGTTGTTCAAGTGCAAGTACTTACAAGAGTCTCCGTACGGACAGAATCCCTTTGTGGGGAAAAGATGGGGGAGTGGGAGTTAGAAAGAGGGGAGAAACGGACGGGAATTCGAAAAGAAGGAATTGAGGAGGAAGGAATACCGTATTGCGGAAGCGATTGCAGACACCCGACGGTGGAGCAACGGCGGCGGAGGAAGAGGTCGGGAAGGAATTGTACCAGAGGGATTTGGCGCGGAAGTGAGAAGAGCTCTGGAGGTGACGCTTGCGAGCGAGAGGAGTGTCCTGGAATTCCTTGTCGCAGTAATCGCAGTAGTACTTCCCCATCGGCATAACTGCAACAGCCAACGTCCTCTTCGCCTTCCTTTCCGTCTTCAACTTTCGGAGGCAGTGGCGGGTACATGGGTCTAGGGTTGCAAATGAGCCAAGTCGCTCGCGAGCAACTCGGCGTTCGAATCGGAAAAAACTCGTTCGACACTCGACTCGTTGTTTAACAAGCCAGCTCGCGAGCTAGCTCGTTAGTAAACGAGCCAAGCTTGAACTAGGTCATGCTCGGCTTGATAAGCTCGTGAGCTAGCTTGACTCGGTGGCTTGTTGAGCTAAGCTTGTGAGCTGACTTGTTTAAAGCTTGTGGAAGGATTAATTACTTTTCTGAACATGAGAATTATCTTATTAATAAGGATGTGTATGAAAGTTAGATGTTATTTTTAGTTTTTGAGGTTCTTTTTATCATTTTTAATTTCTAATGTTCTTATTTGTACACATTTTTCAACAAGAATGATTTCAAATCGAGCTTATCTTGAGCTGAGCTTGTACTCAGCTTGACAAGCTGTGTTAATGAGCATTTACCGAGCTTTATCGAGCCGAGCTCGAGCTGGATTATTTTTAATCAAGTCGAGCTTGAGCTCGAGCTGGATGATGAAATTTCAAGTTCGAGCCGAGCTCGAGCTAAAAAATTTATAAACGAGTCGAGCTCCAGCTCAGCAAAAACTCGACTCGACTCTGCTCGTTTGCAGCCCTGGGTCTTTAGGGTGTCCCTTTTGGAAACGATTAGTCAACCCGTGATACTAATTTAGTATGGATATAAATATTATAATTGGTAATTTGGGACGCCCTTATATTTTAAAAAATGATTATCCTATTTTTATAGTAGTTTGCATATTATTAAAAAAAATAGGGTAAATGCCACATTTGATCACTGATATTACTAAATCGTGTTATGTTTAGTCACTAGAAAAAAATAATATTATTAATTTTGGTCACTCGAATTACCAAAACAGGTCACATTTAGTCAATCTCCCGTTCGCCTCTGTCCACTCCGATCACTCGAATTATTTTTTTTTTATGAATGTTCCTCAAATAAAAAATCCTTACCGACCTATGAGCGGAGACTGAAGAGAAGACCTTGGCTTCCCCCGAGGCGATGTCGTACACCTTTTTGTCGTGCGCAATCAGCTGCGTCTCCACGGCGGACTTCTCGATGTCCCAAATCGTGCAGGTGGTGTCGATGCTGGAAGTGTCGATTCAATTGGGCTCGATCTCGTTTCAATCGAAGGATGTTAGGGGAGTGCAGAACTCGTTGGTCTTGCTGTTGTTGAGGACAGAGATGAGTTCGACGGGGCCATCATCGCGGAGTTCCCAGAGGTGGAGGTAGTTGTCGGAGGAGGTGAGGATGCCGCCTGAAGCTACCGACGGCGATTCGGTGGAGTGGGTGGGCGAGAAAGCCATGGCGTGGTTCGATTTTTGGTCGGAGCTCTCCACTTGCTAGGATACCAGGTTGAAGGTGGGAAAAAATCCCACTGTACACATGTTTTTTAAAAAAATTCTCAAAATACACATGTTATGAAAAAAATTCCCAATCTACGCATGTTTGGCCCTTCACCGCGTCAGACTAAGGCGGTGAAGGGATCACCGCGTTAAACAAGAGCGGTGATTGCATCACCGCGTTAGAGAAAAGCGGTGATTGCATCACCGCGTTAGAGAAAAGCGGTGATTGCATCACCGCTGTAGACAAAAACGGTGATAGCTTCACCGCATTCAACGGCCGCGGTGAAGGCCTGACCTGCGTCGAATCTTTAAAAGAACGTAACTTTGTGCTCGGTTATCCGATCGTGGTGAATTTTTTTTTGATTCCGCATAATTATTCGAGATCTTGCAAGCCGCAAACCACCGAACCTGCCTTCGTCCCGAAAAAACGTCGTTTGCTACCCCGAACGAGCCTTTTTTCGATTTCGTCAAACTTTGAACGACCATAACTTTGTGCTCCACAATCCGAAAATCATGAATTTGTTTTTGATTTTGCATAACTTTTTGAGGACTACAACTTTTATCATAGACATAATTTCGGAATGTACTTGGATTCCTAAAAGGGGAAGGTAAACTTATTCCCAAAACCCCGTATATCCAAAATAATTCATTTTTTGAAAATTCTCTCCTACTAAAAATTGTAGTCCTCAAAAAGTTATGTAAAATCAAAAAACAATTCATGATTTTCGGATTGTGGAGCACAAAGTTATGGTCGTTCAAAGTTTGACGAAATCGAAAAAAGGCTCGTTCGAGGTAGCAAACGACGTTTTTTCGGGACGGAGGCGGGACCAAACCGGCTTGCAAGATCTCGAAAAATTATGCGGAATGAAAAAAAATTTCACCACGATCGGATAACCGAGCACAAAGTTACGTTCTTTTAAAGATTCGACGCAGGTCAGGCCTTCACCGCGGCCGTTGAATGCGGTGAAGCTATCACCGTTTTTGTCTACAGCGGTGATGCAATCACCGTTTTCCGCTAACGCGGTGATGCAATCACCGCTCTTGTTTAACGCGGTGATCCCTTCACCGCCTTAGTCTGACGCGGTGAAGGCCCAAACATGCGTAGATTGGGAAATTTTTTCATAACGTGTGTATTTTGAGAATTTTTTTTAAAAACATGTGTACAGTGGGAAATTTTCCGTTCAAGGTGGGAGGTTGGGGAAGAAGATGGAATGGGGAAAGGGGTGGTTGTTGTGTGGGGAGGAAGGAGAAACTAGATCTGATACATCATGTTTTTTATTTTTCTTTAATTGAAAATGTGACGTGGCATATGATAAGTCTAGGTGGATATGACGTGTTGTCCTAGTGGCATCTACATAAGTCTAACTTCTATTTAACTAACGAAATTGTGGACGGTGTTAAAGTATTGGATGGAAATGGCTAAATTAGTCAAACAAATTTAAAAGGTGTGATTATAAGTGGTATTTCTATAAAATTGACTATATTTTCACAAACGCAAAATTTTTGGCTATACAATTGTATTTTGCCTAAAGAGTACAACTTTATATGCTTTTAACGGGGATTGCTAATTGCTGCCCTACATATTTTATTATCGCCCTAATTATTAGTAAAAATTACCTCTTTATCCTTACTGAATAGAACCGGGCGGCCGCCGGGGTTCCATTGATTTAAGCATTGAAGCTAAAAGAAAACATCTCCGAAGTACGAGCGACTACGGCAGCGGAGGCAGGCTCGAACTTAATGGCACAGATAATGAAAAGATTGACGAAGACGGTGGCGGCCCTGAGAACTGAGAATCATAGTGATTTCAAATTTCAGGTCTTGATTCTACCTCAGACGCCCTAGTTATATGCTAGCTTTTGATTTACGAGGGTGGGGGTTCAAGTTGCTTTCTCTAATCCAACCTTTGATCACCGCAACTATTAGACTATACTCCTCGCTCTTGATTCCAACTGCAACAAAGCCATAGACAATCCCATTAATTAAGAGGGTTTCTTATTTGACAGATGGCACATGCCGACACCGTAGGGAGAAAGAATGGCGCAGTGGGTCACTCACTCACTCACCTGGAGTGCAGGAGGTCGGTAGTGAATGAAGAATTTGCAGTTCAGCGGTGGAGGGTAGGCTTTATCGATGAAGATGAAGGAGAATTAGCGTAGGGCTATTTGATTAATGAAGGACAATCTAGTATTTTATTTTTTAAATTAGGGAGATAATAGTATATTTGGGGCGATATTTAGCCATTCAGTTAACTTAGTGTCGTTTGATTTTGGTGATTGTTCGATTGCAATAGTTACAATGTAAATATTGTTCACAATTCATTGTTTTTTCGAATTTTCTGCAAAAACAATATATGTATTATTTGCTTGATCTGATGGAAACTATCACTCAAAATGAGTGATAATAATATCTCTACTAAAACTTGAGATTATTGAGATAGTTTTAAGGAGATTATTGAG